AGGTAATGTACCTGTGAGGTTAGGTTTAGGGTCCGGTAATGTACCTGTGAGGTTAGGTTTAGGGTCCGGTAAGGTTAGGTTTAGGATCAGGTAATGTACCTGTGAGGTTAGGTTTAGGGTCCGGTAATGTACCTGTGAGGTTAGGTTTAGGGTCCGGTAAGGTACCTGTGAGGTTAGGTTTAGGATCAGGTAATGTACCTGTGAGGTTAGGTTTAGGGTCCGGTAATGTACCTGTGAGGTTAGGTTTAGGGTCCGGTAATGTACCTGTGAGGTTAGGTTTAGGGTCTGAAGGGCGCTGACTTTCGCGGTAAGACATATTGTGTCACATCCTGTTTTGCTGCTGGTAGATAGTGAAATTTGTTTGCTCGAGGACTCTCTTGATTATCTAACTTCTCCACAGTTCTATTTCTAGTACATAAACACTCTCGATAGTCTTTTTCTCGTACTATTAGATTGTGCTTAAGACACTGTTTTTTCTTTCAACACTTCTTGGTGTTGGTGTTTTTGGGATCTGCTAGCTCTCGCTAGCACTAGCATGGCTTCCTCTCTCCTGGCTCCTTCTGCTCTCACTTGCTCCATGTATCAGATGTTTAGCTACTCCTCTGCCTCCTTTAGCGATAGCGACACTTGTATTAAAGGGGCGATATGTGCTTTCCAAGCCTATATTTCAATTTTATACTAAAATAAAGTGACTATATCACATTTTCAGCTTATGAAAGAGCTGTATATTTGTAAAAATCCCCCCAGAAATTTACTTCTCATCTTGACAGTTTCTAAACGCCTTGAAATAGGTCTCTGTCTCTTTAAGAAAATCCAACCACTTCGGTCACGCCCATTTCAGCATGTAGCCTGCCGGAGTCGCGGAGCGGGAGGGTCGCACGCGAGGGGGGGTTCGCGCATGTGCCATGATGCAGTTTACTTGGCATCTGAAAATACATTTCCTCAAAGTTATTTTGAATCTGAATAGAGCTTCTAAGTGAGGAGTAGTGGATCTCAGCAGACAGTTTAAGTTTCACTTTCACTCGTTTGCTTTGTTACTGCCAAGAGCCTGCAGGAGTCATGGGC